TTTGGTTTGTATTTTAGCATTTAGATTACTGCTAAACTTTTAGGTTCCTGTTTAATGATTTATTATTAAGAAGGACTAACAATGTGCACTTTTGCTGTGTGTCAGACAGAACTGTACTCCCTTGAATTTTGAGAGTGGAAGGTAGTCGTTGTTTTATTTGAAATGCTGCTATCTTTAGTTTTGAGCAGACGAGCTGTTTTTGAATTAACTTTAAGCCAAGTAGCAATAAACTTTTTACTGTGATTTGGTTGTTTTTTTTGTCTGGTGTCATTTTGCTCACCATACCATGATGATTTCATGCCAATAAATATGATCAAAGTCACTGCCTTTGGTCAGTATAAGATATGATGTTGGTTGTAGTTTGTTGTCATTCATTTTAAATACCCGAACTATTTAACAGGAAGTGATATTTGCCTTGGTCCCAATGGATGTGATGTTCTTTGTTATTCAGTTATGATAGATGCAAGAAAATGAATCAGAGGAACAATCAAGTTTAACACTGATGTCATGAATAAATTCCTAAACACAGTAGATCTGCCATTTAAAATGAGGTTTAAAGAGGACAAGACTCCGGAACAAAGTATGACTCTGCTTTGTTCAAGTTGATTCCAAGACAATGGAAAGATACTGTCCCTCAATAGTCGTTTATCTCTCAGCAATACTGTGGATATTTGAGGTTTTGTTGGTTTCAAAATGAAACAAAATAAGAATACCTGAATCATAGGACAAAGGTCAGGGCTGTACTGAGAGCTATGGAATCCACAATAAATTAGTTGTATATAGGATATGATTTATTTTATCTAAGAGATGCAGGCCTGTAGAACGTGACCTGGGGAACATATCAGCCAACTCGTCTTTAAAATTAAAGGCAAATGCTGATATCATTACACACACTTTTCTAGATGGAATTAAAGGACAGTTTATATCAGAATATTATTCGGCACAATTCTCATGAAAAATGACATTATAGGTAAATAATAAAATGCTATTTGAGTTGTTTATTATTACTGCACAGTTCGAGAAAAAATACATCATAAACAGGTATGTAAACTGGAGAAGAGGTAAAAAGTAAAAAATAAAAAAAGTATTCTCTCTAATAAAAATGTAAACAATTCATCAAAGTATAAAAGTGGATAAAAAAAGTTGATTCTGCAAGTGAAGACCTAATGTAACTAAACCTAACACGGTTTCTTCTCATAGGGATTCTTTCTTAATCCCACTGTCGCCATATGTCAAAGAGAAAAGGCATCTTAAAAACGATTGTCCTCATTTGTCCTTTGCCTCTTTAGCTCTCGCACTGACCTGAAAGCTCTGACAGCTAACACCGTACCAAAGATGAACACAAACACCCCCAACACCCCGAAGAGTCCACCTGCGATGTCTGCACCGTGGAACTGACACTCAAAGCCTTTGTGCCCTTTGCTCTTGTACATCTGCTCTCTCTCCTCACAGATGGGATTATTGTAGGTTTCCTGCAGCTTAATGAAGTAGAAGGCCAGGGCAGGGATGTAGCCCAGGCCGATCAGGAAGTTCAGCAGAGCCTCCCCCAGCAGCACAGGCGGGTAGCGGTAAGGGACTCGGAAAATCCCCAGGCCGAGCATGATGCAGGCGTAGACCATTAGAACCCCACCGCAGGCCATGGTGAAGATGTATGGAGGCCGCTTGAGCTGATGGAACAGCCGGTCCAGCTCCTTCACCCTGTCTGCGTCAGCTCCAGTGAAGGCATTGGCTCCACCAAAGTGGTAATAGTAGATGCCGCCGAGGCTGGCCAGGTCCCGGTAACCCCCGTTGTTGCTATGTGGCACCCCAGCACAGATGACGATGAGCAGATTCACAAACAACTCCATAAGCTGACACAGACCTGGAGACAGAGGATAAATATGATACCGAACAGAATATAGAGCTGAAACAATGACAATTTATTTTGAGAATGTTTTTTTATATTTAGGGGACTGATATCTATGATTGTGTCAATTAAATTTGAGGGGACTGTTGCTGCTGGTGGAGGTATGTGCTCTACTGAGAGCCAGCTTATGGTTTATTATCAAATACTGTCCAAGGAACGTTTTGACTATGTGCTTTATGAAGGTAACAACTAAAGGAACAGGCACTGTTTCCCACAGAGTTGAGAATGTTGAACTGATTTCACAAGTCTCAAATTAGCACTCTGAATGCTCCATTCTGACTGGTCGCTCACTGTGCACGTATACTCTGCACTTTTGAAAAACTTTTAGTGGTTGATTTGAAAAAGGAAAAAATTACACAGAAATGTATGTTGTTAAATATATTCAGGTGCCATCATAACAAATTCAAGAAATTCACTGTGTGAGCTTTGATTGCATGTAACATTTCACAGAAGCACCCTGTGATAATTATACTTGCCTCTACTGGTTAAGACGTATCTCAGATTGTAAAGAGCTTGTCTGTGTTGTTGCTCATAACTCTCCCCTTCAGAGTGAAGCACTGGTGTCTCTCTGGACCTATAAAAACAATACAGTTGGTTTTAAGTGAGATAGAATCAATTCTTCCTCTGCAAATCATCTCATTTCACATGATTACATAGCCCTGCCCCAGGTGATCTTCAGTTTGTGTGGAAAGACAGGACAGTGAGTGCTGGCTGTTGTTTACAGAGAGCATCAGGTCCCTTACAGTGTGGAGGGTCCTTCACGGTCTTGGCTGTGGTCTCTGTAAGCAGGTGGCTCCTTGTGAGTGGCAGTTGTCATGTCCCTCTGCCTGTTTTGTTTGGCCCTCCTGTCACCAGCAGAGCCTCTCTTGTCCGTGTCTCTGGGCTTCTGGTTGCGACCTCTGTCACCGTAGGGAGAGTGGTCTCCATCTTGTGAGTGGTCCCTCTCCCTGCTCCTGTACTCTGCATACGCATCGCTCCTCTGCTGGTGTCTCCCCCTCTCTGGCATCTTCTGCCTACAAAAGAAGATGTGGACATGTAAAGTGGATTGTTGGCTTGGGCCTCTGTTGCTGCCACCATGGACAGTAAAGATGCATTAAGGGTTAATTAATGGAGATGAATGGCTGGGCGAGGTGAACGTCCAAACACAGAGGTTTCTTTATTACCTCACCCAAGGTCGTTATGTTTTCACTCCTGTGCATTTGTTGGCTGGTTTGTTAGTTTGTTAGTCTGTAAGCAAGATTGCACAAAATAAGCTGGATGGATTTCAATGAAACTTGGTGGATGGAATGCGGTAAGGGCCAGAGAAGTACCCATTGAATTAAGTTAAGGATCCAGGAATTTTGGGGGGTTTTCCTAAGGAATAATTAATGGATCAAAATCAGGCGTATTTAGGGAACTGAAATCTATGAGTGTGTGGAATTTGGTGCAGCCTGGTTAAATCTAAGGGGACTGTTGGGCTTTGGCCGAGGAATGCATCCAAGAGAGAGCCAATCTGAATGGGAAAGTGGTTAGAAGAGGAAAAGGGGATGATTTGGGGGCCCACATGCAGAAGAAGGAAATAATGACAGTAATTATTCAGATTTTGAGTCCATATAAAACACAACACAGCTACAAAAAATAAAATATATACAAAGGAACAAAAACACACCTGAATAAACATATATGGGCTATATTATTATCTATATTGAAGGGTCTCAACAGCTTAAATCAGTAGCATGACAGTACTAAACCTACTATTTGATACGATCAAGCTTATTTCTATGTTCAGTCATTAAACTAGCTAATAAATAGATTTTTTTGGGATAGATTGAAAAGACTCCGGCAGCCACAAACATTCCACTCGCACTAGATCACCGAGGTCTCCAGATTCTATGAGCTTGCTTTAATAGTTATAAATCTGGTCATATCAAATAAAAACAGTCGTCGACGTGGGAGCCCAGAGGATTGTCGACGTGCTCCAAAGTCAGAGAAACAGTCTGATCTACCCTCCCACAAAGTTCGTCCGTGTATTTCAATGTTTTTACGTAAAAGTGAAACAGTCGAAGGCTCGTGAAGAAGAAGGATATATATTATAGTTCCTTACTGTGAGAGTCTCTCCGCGATCAGGTTTTGTTTACGTTCACACACCGAGAAAGTAACATTCCAGCTCTTCACACTTCCGGTTTCACATTTCCTCCTCCCGTCGCGCACCTGTTCTGTGCCACGCCCACTAGTGAGCACCTGGGAATAAAAGTTTACTTTCTGCAGCTTCTTTTTTTTTCACATTATATCAGCATAACGTTTGTGAAATACATGAATCACATATATGTAAAACCTTGGATTATTAACACTTTATTGTTTTTTATTAGTGGTGACAGAAACCAGGCATCATCTTCAGATCCACTGCTCTGTTCTTACTGGAGTGTAAAGTGCTGACAGGGAGCGTCTCTAAATGTCAATAACAACCGGAAAGGGTATAAAAATATTGGCAGCAGTCATACTCAACTTCCAAAAACCAAAAATTGGCGAATCATGCCTCAACCCGGACGTGAACGCACACAGCGCACGCGGTCACGCTTATGAAGCTCGTGGTAAAAGTCCTATTAGGTATTTCCGGCCTGGCCTTTACATTTCAAAATAAATGTGTCTTAAAAGTGTGAGCGTTGGATGTTTTGTTCCTCGTTTTGTCCCATGTGCTCATTCAATCGATGTATTCACCAAATTCTAGAATACAAGCAATGACCAATGAATATAATGAAATTACCAGTTAAACTAAAGACCTCAATAGTTGAAGCTACACTGTGGCTTACTTTAGGTAATAATCCATGAGGTAATAATACGGCAGATTTAATTGTTTCACTTTCCTTTAAGTAAATTTGCTGTCATTGCCTCAGGACCCCAGTGCACTGGACTTACTATCAGCAGACCTAGTTTAATAAAAATGTTTTGTTTGGGATTATGACTTATCAAGAACTAATTTAACTGTTATGATGAGCCAGTTGGTGCATTCATAATATAATGAATATATAAAAGTAAATATAGTAAAATACTCACTGGGAACCTTTCTTTTAGTTTTAATACTATTACATTTTCAAAACATTTACGCTGAAATGATATAATTAATTCTAATGCACTATTTTTGCAGTGTGCTCATGCGTAAAGGAACAGAAGCGTATTGCATTCACTTGAGAAAAAACATTTGCTCTGCTGTTCTGAATCAATTACTTAATTATCTCGTTAAATCAGAAACGTAGCCCTGTTTTCTGAATTAATTCGATGATAAAATACGCTGTTGTTCTTAATCAACGAGATAAATCGTTGATTCAACTGAATGCAATATGCTTCCATGCAAAGGGTCTTCAATACTTCTATCACTGACAGTATATCGCAGGAGGAAATTCTCTGTGGGGGGAAAGGATGGAGACCTTTATTGTGAAATCCTGGGGCGAACCCTGACCGGAAGTGTTTGTGGCTCGTGTCGGGCTCACGCTGCCGCTACAAGCGACCGCGCGCTGGCTCTGCTAGCAAGCGAGGAAGATGGCAGGCAGAAATGGCGGTGACGGCCAGGCGAGCGGCGTGAAGTGCTGATGCAGTACACGGAGCGAAACTCACGACTGGCAGGACACCGTTGGGAAAATGACAATGGCGTCGCAGTAGGACACGTTTCGTGACTGTCACCACAAACCTACAACACCTTCCCGGGGGAGTTTTCGTCTTGTCAGCGGAGGAGAGGGAACCTCACCGGGAGCATGGCTTCTCACAGTAACCAGGTAGCTAAGCTAGCTGGCTAACGTTAGCCTGGCACACAACGCCTGCCGCACGCCGTGTACAGCGCTGCGTGCAGCCGCAGTTCTCTTCACCGTTCGCACTTAAATCAGCGCCACGTTACTGAAGCACATCCGTCAGCTTCGAGTTGTTACCTGAAACGTGTCGCTCCTCGTGTCATTGAAAACGTAGGGACTGAAAAGTGCTTGCTAATGCCCCCCTTAAGCCCCATTGAAACGGCACCAGCATGGTAGCTAACAGGCCCTCGGTCCCTCCATTCAAATGGGCCAGCGGTAGTTTTTGCTGCAGTTTTTCGGGACTCGACTGCTACGTTTCGCTAAAAGACACGGAACTTGCGCTTTATCCAAAGTCAGCGACGCTCCGTTGCTAAATGCTACAAGTGTCATGTGTTAATTCCCAGAGAAAAGTGACCCACAAAACTGCTGCGTGTATTGCATGGCCCACCTGCTCAGTCAGTCCTGCGACAGGCCTCCCACCAGCGCACATCTCCATAGCTGCTTCCAGCTGCTCGTTACTTCTCATCTGGACTCTCGGGAGCCGTGCTGGCGAGTTTGTGGAGTGTTTTGCGTTGATTTATTTGCAGGTTCTAAGCCGTCGATATCTCGGATGCTACGTTTCCCTGCTGGTCATTTAGCTGCTAGCAAGCTAACAGCTTTGCACAGGTGGTGTGGTTGTACATTGCAGTCAGCGCGCTAGCTGGTTAGCTGAACAGAAATGCGACAGGAGGCCTCTGGTTCATAGCGAACAGTTATTTAATAGGGAAACTACCAGAATCACCGGGGAGCTTGCACGCTCCTGGGCGGGTGTGCGGTCCTGTGAGGCGGTATCTCCCGGTAACTTAGCAAGCTTGGTGTTATATGTGAGGAAGTTAGCTGTCATGTGGGAAGGCCCATTTTGAAGTCTAGCTGTGCATGCAGGGACACACCAGGCCTGAAGTTTCTGGTAGTTGACCGAATCAAAGGTGAACAAAAATCCACATTATTAAAAATGAAAACATCCTGAGATGCATGCTTCAATCGTGCCTGACAGTTTATGAACCAACGTGGCTAACGACTGTTCAAACCTGACCCAAGACTTAACTCTGCATGCTTTCACACTTCCTGTTCTTACAAATGAATGAACAACACGTGCTCCATCTTTATGTTGAAACATGTTCTACCATGATGTTGGTTTATTGTCGTGTTCTGAATAAATACGCGGAGAATAAGTGGAATGACATTAGATTTTCTATTCAAATGTAACAAGGGACAGAAAGGGCTGCACATCACAGTGGAACTCTTTCAACGCTGCCTAATTTCCTCAGGCAACCACATTTTGACCCTGATCAACTATTTGATCTGGTTCGTTTGTCACTGTTGGCAACTGTTCATGTTTAACAAAAACTCTAAACAACTCTCCCTCTGTGTAAAATACTGTGTGAGCGAATATATAAATGAAAATGTTCCTGTCACAATGATTTACTCTATGAGGAGTTATCAATATATAGGCGAGTGGTGTTTCATTTCTAAAACTATAGCCTTAAGATGGATTGGATGACCAAACTCAAATGAATGATACGCTGTTAAACATGTGAAGCAGCCAAATTATCAGAGGCAGAACAAGACACCGGCAGCAGAAGGCATGTTATTTATTTGAGTGAATTTAGCAAAACTGGTCATGCTGGAAATACAGCAGCAGATACAACTGAGCTTCAGTCTAACAACCGGTAAATTCAGTAACATATGTTAATATTCTGCTTATGGTCATTTATCATGCTAAATCCATGATCTTTCCTTTTTAAAAGAAACATGTTTATGTTGTATATTTTTCATCTATATATAGCAAGGCTGTGCCACTGTGTGAGATGATGACAGACACATTACTTCAAAACAATGCTTAAAATAATTATTACAGTATCTATGAAATATGAATTATAGTTACCTATTGTGTTGCAATTAGAAATATAGACAACTGCAATTGAGGTTTCTTCTCTTTGTTGTATAGTTTCAACAGTTATGAAACAGTGTCAGTAATTTCTGATTAGTCTTCGTCAATGCAATGATACCATTGATGTGGGTATTTGCTGAAGTTGTTGAAGCATAAAGTAAAAACAATATCTATCCTTGTAGTTTCCCTTGTCACATTTACGCTCATTGGTTGAGTTCAGGCATATGCTTTAGCATTGGTCATCGTCATAGTTACATGTTATAGATTATGTCCTCATGCCTTTATATTTCCTGTCTTCCAAAAACTTTAAATCACACATGAACCATACTTTGCCTACACATCTTTATTTTATTGAACATGACAACTGTTTATATAATTCGACTCAATAGACAAGTGACGCGGCGTAAGCAGGAAACTTCCATGGCAGAGCGTGCTAACTGCCTGATCTACTCTTCTTTGATGAAAAATGCAGTCAAACATAAGTTTCATCGAAACCACATCAGCTGTATTCATTGTAATAGAATGGAATTCCTCTTTAGCACATCTGCAACTTTTTACTGTTTTCAATGCTAGTTTTCCTCCAAAGCATAATTCTGAGCTGGATACTAAGACTCATAACCATTCTTGGGAATACCACACAAACAAATCAGACACTTGTTTAAGTTGCCCAACATTTTCTGCTTAGTCATGGCCAAATGCATACTGAATGAAAATGCGCCAGGAGTGTCGCTACAAATGAATCAGCATTACCAGTCATGATTTTTCCCTCACTGTGGTCTCACCTTTAGATTAAATTTCCAACTTTTCCTTTACAACAACATGAGTACTTGGGATGTCATCAGAACTGATACTTTGTTACCAAGTCGATGCCAAAATTCTAAAAACGTCAGCATACTCTTTGTTTTCTTTTACAGCACTGAAGGTACCGATAACAATTCTGACCCGGTGCTGCAGGATGGTTGCCACCGCTGCTTCAGCATCAGGGCAGGCGCACATTACATGTCCAGTGTCCTGTATTGCGATGCCATGCTTATCCAGGAACACGGGTGTGAGTTTAGCAAGTTATGTGTGTGGGTAATTGGTGAAGAGTAGAATCATTTCTCACTTCTCATGCTATACTAAATACATAGAACAAATATGATATATAATGTAGACACATAAAAAAAATGAATGAATGAGGCTTTAGTGCTTTTTATTATTCGACTATGTAAATTCAACAGGCATTTTCTGTTTCACAGATAGCTGATGTGACAAACGAAAACACACACACACACTCCAGCATCATGAGTGCTGTAACAGAAACCTCTAAAAAAAAAAATGGACAAAATGTTAACGTGTCACATTGGTCAGACTATAAATCAAAGGAATAGACCAGGCCTATCTCAGTCCAGAGCATAGCTGACAGCTTGTCTACTGGTTTGAATTCAGATATAGCAACATGTCCAAATGCTCAGGGGTTATTCTGCAATTTAGGTGTCATCCACGAAGTAGAATATCCGTTCATGTAGCTCTGATATCCCAGGAATGTACATGGTGCATTGTTGGAGTGGCCATCGTCAGGAAGTGCATCTGATTATAAACATATAAAAGTTAAAAGTACAAACTTCTTATTTGATATTCTTCCCTCTTGATTTGAAATCTGTCTGCGTCTGCTGCCACCATAAATTTAAAGTATCTCAGACCTCAACTCTGCGCTTACAACAGAACAATGCACAGTTGGCTTGCTATGTTTCACGGATAGACAGGTGACTGTTTTGGAAGAGTGGTGGAACATGTGTTATACAGTTGTCACAGTTGCCATCTTTGTCGTAATGGACTATTGAATGTAGGATTCTTAAAGTGGTTTTGTGTCCTCCTTTCTAACCTTTCTGGAACAGCAGAAGGTTTTACAGAGTCTGGAATTTGTACATAACGTCACTAATATTTATTCTGATAATTGATATCAGTAAGCTGGTGGTAAAATGACCAAGCCAATAAAATGTTCCTTCTTCATAGCCTAATAGGCAAGTTTGAATAACTTAAAATCATGATAATTGATAACTAAGATGGTTGTTTTCGTGGCCTATTTATAATTTGGGAAACACTGACTGCAGTAAATGGTGTTGCCATATTGTTGAATGAGTTATTTTTGTTTGATAGCACCTGTCTTGAAGCTGATAAATGACAATAATTCCTTTCGTCCACTGTCATACTCCATGTGTCACGCTTATTTATCACTGAGTTAACCTATTACTTCATAACTCTAATATGCAGGCTCAGGTATGCTCCAGGGATTCATTGAAAGCTGGTCTGACCTTATTTGTAGTGGTGCTGAAGCATTATCAAGTTCAGCCAAGTTGTCCATTAATAACGCTGTATGCCACTTTAAGGGAATGAGCACAATAGTGCTGGCTGTAACCCCAGTTATGTTTAGAGTTCATAGATTGTCAGAGTAGTCATGTGGTTCTGGGATATTATAGTTATATGACTTGTTTAAATCCATTTAAGTCTACTAGGGGAATGTGTACATATAAAATGTATTGATTGCTGCCAGTGAACAATCATATTTAGACTTGTCTGTTTAACTTATGATTATTGTATATTGTGTGGCTACAGAAAAAAGTGAACTGCTTGTTACTGTTATTGGGAAAAAATGTAAACAAACGGAGAATCTCACTTGTGCAACACATGCTCGTCACTTCCACAATCTGTCAGACTCTCTCCCCACATTAATACAGAGACAATCCCAGTGAGAAGCCATAATGATAATCTCCATCCACCAAATAGAAATAGAAATCAGTAGCATGGTATTACTTTGGATGTCTCAAAAATTACAATGGGTGCAAAGTGGCTGTGGAAATAGGAAACACTGAAAACACAGTCCTCCATCATGGAGAAATATCATCTCTCCATACAGATCAAAGTATTCCACTTAAAACCATAATCCCTGACAAATGCATATTAGATTTTAACGTCAACCTTAAAATGTGCTATTGAAAAGATTTATCACGTCACTGGTCTGGCTACATCATAGTTGTCCCTCTGTTCGGTTACCTCACACTGACCCTTATCTGACCTCATAAAGAAACAAATGCACTTTCACAGCTCACAGGGACGACATAGGTGTCTGTCTGTGTTAGTCACACAACTACAGTAAATGGGCAACTATTTTGATACTAGTATAGAGAATTTGTGAAGCATTTTGCACTTTTATCAGACAAAACAACAAATCAATTATGGAGAAAACGATAATTAATGATTGATTGTTAATGTGCTCCACCTCAACAAACTATAACGTTTTCAGTCTGGTATTAGTTATTTTACTTACGTAAAGGATGTGAGTACCTCCTCCACCACTGCTTAGGCAAACTAACATGCTTAACATAAAACTTGTGGTTTCTTTTCCGTCAGGAATATTATTTGTAATACAGTGAAACTGATATTTAGAAAACTGTCGTCACACTTCCAAAATCTCATACTTTTATAACCCATTTTCTAATACTTCTGCAGCCCAGCTATCTGTTGTTAGGCCCTTCCTCTATTCCTGTTGTGCGTGGTGTCGTCACTTAACTGTGTTGAATCATACAGATGGCTAATTTGTTGTAATCCTCAGTCCAAACAAACAGCAAGGGGAGCTTAGTGTGGTACGTGTGGCACGCCTGCAGAAAGAAGCAAAGAGACATTCTTTCTGTTGTGATTGTATTAGCTGTCCTGAGGCCATTGGATTATGGCTGGCTGTTTGTCGCTTGTAGTGCCATTTCAGCACTGTGGGCCCTCGCGTGGGGCCTCGTTTGCAAAGAGTTACATGTGCTTGAGTTGCACTTTCTTTTCTCTGTGCCCTCCCTTTTCACGTCCCTCTGTTTATTGAAGAGGATTAGCATGGCTAGTGAGTTCATTTCACCTTTTCTCGGCTTTGTTTTCCATGCTCATGTGGACACTTGGTGGCACAGTGTGGTGTTTCCCCTGAAGCTCCAGAGGTCATGTGACAGGGGTGTAGCACAATTACAGCGAATAAGATATATGATAGTGTTTTTTGTTAAACAATCTACATCATAAATATGAGGAGTAATGGGATATCAAGGTAGAGGGACATTGCATCTTGCATTTGAGTCATTTGTTTAATTAAATTATGTGTGAAGCACAT